TGGCAATGTGACCAACAGAAGAACTTCTGGAATTTTCAAAATTTTGACTTTTTTTTAACAATTAATTTACGATAATTTTTTTTAAATTGTGGTATGACGCTGACGCAATTCATAGAAACATTTTACTTATGAATTTTTCATTTTAGTTTTATTTTGCTGTTCGTATAGTTTATTATAATATTATTATCAATTATATTTTGTTCGTGACTATTAATATTTGATATTTCAAAGAACAGTAAAACCACATAAGAAAAATAATTATAAAACATTAGTTCTGTCAATTAAAAAAATTTGTAAAAGTAAATAAATTGTTTTATTTCTATTCTAAAAACACGTCATATAATTTATGAACTGTTGAAAAAAAAATACTCGTTAATTCGTTATAAGTTCTAATAATTGTATATAATATAAACAAAAATAAAACAATAGGTCATTTTTTGCAATCTGTTTTACTTTATTTTTTGTATCATCATCGGAACACTATCAACTCTATCAGTTATCACTATTCGCTAATCAGTATTCAGTAAAGGGTATCACAAAATATCACAACTTTTATTATTTTTATTGACTAAACGACTAAAGTATGTGATTCACGAATACGATTCGCCGAATAGTTTACCTACGTCTTGCATAGTTGCATCATTGCACACGTCTTGCAGTTGTAGTTACTAGTTTATGTTCATTGCTCACTAGTCAGTACTCARTCTCAGTACTCGGTAGTCACTTCACTACTTTACTAGTCACTATACTCACCAGTTGGTAGTAACTACTTAACTAGTTTGTACTCAGTGGTCATTTTGAACACTCGTATGGACTATGGAGTATCATTCAATTATTGCATTAGTAGTCTGAACTACGTATTGACGTAATCTTCGTAGTAGATTAGATGTACTGTAAGACTTCATCGTCCTCAATCGTTTATAATTACATTTCTGTAGCTTTCGAAGTGCATTAAAAACAAAAAAATTAACTTTATTTTGCGCCATGAGTTTAAAACTATTTTTTTTAATGAAATATTCACATAGTTTGTCCGTCATTACTGATTTATAAAAACATAAGTGTTATAATGGAACCTGTTGTTAATTGGAATCCACGAGAAGTGTCAATTTGGCTGGAGAAAAAGGGTCATAGTAAATATTCTCGGATACTTACTGAAGATCATTGCATTGATGGCCGTGCTCTTTTACTTATTAATGAAGCTGACTTAAAAAGTCCACCTATAAGTATTAATGTATGATTTCTTTATTTCACATTTCATTGTTAAAAATTACCTAATACCTACTTAATAATTGATTTTTTATTCAACATTTAGGTCTTAGGTGATATAAAAAGATTAATGTTGGATATTCGTCAGTTAAAAGTTGAAAATCGACAGGCCCTTTTACAACTTGGATTTGATCCTATATCGCTACTTACAAAACCTGTATGTAGTGCACATGTTTATGGAACTCAATTCCGACCAGATGTAAGTGCCATAAATTCATAAATTTTATTATTATTTATTATTAAACTATTCTATTATATTAAGTAGCTTCAAATGATAACAAATAATTGCTTTAAAATAACAATTCTGAGTTGAAATGGTGTCAGCTTATATCAGCCTCTATTTCTAAGAACAGTTTATAATGTATTTATATTTCTATTACCTATTGCCTATTAGTTGGTGGGAACCACATCATTGGCCAAGAGATAGACTATTAGACTATCAATTATTATCCTTATCGAAATAAAAAGGTAGAGAAGTAGAATGTCCTTAATAATGAAATTTTTTTTAAACAAATAAACTGAAAATCAAATCT